ACAACTGAAATAAATGTACTGACAATAATGAACATATCACGTCAGCATACAGATACCTACGGCTGTGAAGCTTTGAATGAACATGGAAATGCCAGCATTGCTGTCAGTATCACTGTGTTATGTAGGTATCGACCAATAGAAACAATTACAAAATATATAGCTATCCAACTTGATTAGTGTGGTCTGAAATGTGCTCTAAACTCCAGACAAATGCTGGTTTGGTAAATAAACTTTATATTAAAGATTTGAAAAAAAAATACTGCTATCTAGCATTTATAAAAGAGTGGAATCACTCAGCTCAGTGTAAGCTCCAGTAAAACAAGTTGCTGTAAGGTTAAAGGGTTATTCCAACAACCATGACCACTTCTGCTTTTTTTTTTTCTCTGACGCTTAGTTTATCAGGCCCACTGGTGAAACCTACATTTATCAGAAGGGCATGCCAAAAGACAAAGGTTCGGGACACCTATCCCTTTGTCATTGTAACAATAAGTTAAAAGAAAACAGTGCACTTACCCAAATATATAGAAAGTGAAAAAACCATCCATCTTCAGACCCAGCACCATTGACTCAGACCCAGATCTGTAAGAGGGAGTGATAATTATGTGCATCTAAATTTGAAAAATATACCAACATTAATATGTATCAGATATCATTAAATAACCACACCAATATTATACATCTGCCCAGATCATAACCTTAATCAGCCTTTACTTTAATTCATTATATGACGATTTAGAGAAAATCATCCATATGTATTTTCATGATCGTGTGGTGGTAATAGCAAAGAGTAACCAGTATTTTACTTATTGTACTCTATGTTCCTATTCCAGATCCTCCGACAATCACCACTCATATATCAGGTACTGCTCTTATAATCTGCAATTATACTGACATCGCAAAACATCATCCATTCTGAACATCAAACAGGTTTCCATATTCTCAGCAATGATAATTTAGTCCAAGTAACATGGTAGAACTCCTGTTTCTAAACCACATTTTCATGTTTCATTTTGCCTGTTTCACTCTATATATTCTATGGCAGGGGTACACAAAAGGCAGATCTCAGGAGGATTTAAAACTTCCATGATGCATTGCCATTCTAAAGTTATTATAACAGAATGCAAAGAATCATGGGAGTTGTGGTTCTACAACATCTGGGGATCTACCTTTTGGGCACCCATGCTCCATGGAATGCAAACTGTTTTTGGAATGCTTCATTAGTTCCCTAACAATCAGTTTTTAACATAATTGTAATAATTTAATAATTGCATAACTAAAATGTATCAGGTATCCCTGAACAGCAATCTAGAAATGTTGTTTGAGTTTTTCAGCTTTCTATTTTTTTCTGGTTTCTGAAGCAAGTTATGCTATTGAGGAAAAAGAAGTATTCACTTCTCCACCCAATTTAAGTAGTTCTTTAAAACAACAATTCTCACACGTATTATAGTGACAATTCCTCTTCCCCCTCTCCCCAGTAAATGCTACTGATGAACTTACACTTTCAAACTTACCTACACACCGATGCTGTGTCCATACATACATGCTGGATGCCTTATCACATTTCGAAACACCATCACAGCCTTTCATTTTAATTCAAACTGATAGGTCTATGGGGTAAATCCCAATCCAGCATTAGTATTAGATCAATGATTTTATTTGACTTTTGGACAATATTTTGTGCATGTTTTCACACATAAAAATGTTACAACCTTTTCAGCCAGCCAGTACGTTTGTCAAAATTAGAAATCCTTACCCACTTAGAAACAGTCTTATCAATTGTTATCATTAATCACACAATCTTGATATTGATCCAAGAAAGCTAATTTAATATAAAGGAGATCCTGATTAGCAATATCTGGCTTACCTGTTTGATCCCTTTCATAGTTATCAGATAACATGTGAGTCATTAGCCAGTTGTGTTCCCCATCCCTACCCCCCACCCATATCTCCCTAATTTTATATATCATAATATGTTTCATTCTTGATATAGATACTGATTAATAGATAAATGTACACCCCCTTCTCAATGTATATTTCTTTATTTTACTCAGATTTTTACCTATTTTCTCTATTTTATGTGCATTTCCTTAGGAGAGAAACAAGTCAGTGATGGATCTTATGTGCAATCTGTGATTGTGAAAGAAGAGAGTTCTGTGATTCTACGATGCTCGGTGGACAGTAACCCACCTGCTAATATGACCATTATGAAGGCGGCAGATACATTTGCCAGAATTATAAGTGGCCGGGAATTGATCCTTCATCTGAGAAACATATCACATAGAGAGACCGGTATCTACAATATCTCAGCAATAAACGAGCATGGAACTAGCTATAGCATCATCAATATCAGCATCCCGGGTAAATATTTGTGCAAAATGTTACGCAACATATAGATTACAAAACTGACATTATCTGCATTCTCTTTTATAATTACTTTAGAATGTTTGCAATGTTTTCATTTGGTGATGTCCAGGTGATGTGGTCATTTTTTCTAGATTATGTCATTGATATATGTCAATACAATACTTAAGTTTAATCTTCATTTTCACTTCTATCTTCATCACTGTCAAGTGATCCTTTGCAAATCTAAGCTGTACACGTCACCTCTATCTTACTTTAGAAGAGAAATTGGCACTTTTATAAAGCCCTAGGTTTTATCCTCCCAGTTGTAGCCTGCTAGTAAGGTGCTTTCCCTGCTCAAAACAGACATAAGGATTCTCATAGAGAATGTATGGATTCAATGTTTCTCTAGAAAGAACCATTGCTGGAACAGCATAGCAATTGCTGCGCATGTACAATGTCCCCAACTGCCTCCAGATGGGAAGCATTTGATCGGCCAAAAGATAATCACTAGTGATTCTCTCCCACAGTTGGAAGGGAGCTGTAAAATAGGAC